TTAGAGTCAGACGGAGCTGAGCACAGATCTTGGACCTATTTGTAAGTGCTGTAACTTCTCTAAGCCTATTTTCTCATTTGTAGAGTGGGAATAATATTTACCTTGTAGGGTTGTTTCAGGAGAGTATTCACAAGGTTCCTAGCAAAATGTTGAACACCGGTGGCTCTCTTTAAATGCTAGACACTTGCTCTTACTATTATATGAAAGTACCACATAGGATAATGCATAGAACTGCCCAGAGATATTTATTTTCAGACATAAAATAATAAACAATTGATTCTCTCTGAGCAAAGCTGATATTTTCTCTCTCTTTTTAAGGTCTAGAATTTTCAGCTTTAAGTAACAGATTGTCCAGAGGTTTGTATGGATTCCCTATATAGACGGGAAAGGGCACAAAGCAACCATTTTACCAGTCCCAGGCTTTCACACATAGTAGTACAATCAGGGTTTAAGTTTATGCTTCACAGACCTCCTCTGTTCATGGCCATGATTATCGTTTTTTCTTCCATTACAGAGGATAAACCAGAATAAAAAATATGCATCCTACCTGAAATGAGAAGCAGGAACTTCTAGCTTTTTCATGTAACAGATAGGAGAGTCACCCACCCCAGGAAGAAAACAGACATTGGAACCTCCTGTGTAAGTCTTAGGGGCACTGTGAGAGAAATGATCATGAGGTTAGTAATCTGGGTTTTCTTACTCCTTTAAAACATTGCCAGTTTGGTATCAGAGATTCTGTGTTTTGAATGAAATAAAGTATACAATTTCTGCATAAATATAGTAATGGCAGCTTTATTTCTAAAGGCAAAAAATCGAGACAGCTATGTCAAAGAGTAAAGTGGTTAGTAGTTAAACGATGATATCTTTAGTTGACAGAACATTAAGCAGTCATTTAAAATATTTACTTAAACATATGGAATATGACTAATAACATATGGAATAATATGGAAAAAGGTAATAATGTGGAAAATGCTGCTGAGCACATTTCAAGTAAAAAATAGGATGAAAATGGGCCGGGCATGATGGCTCACGCCTGTAATCCCAGCACTTTGGGAGGCTGAAGCGGGTGGATCGCAAGGTCAGGAGATGGAGATCATCCTGGCCAATATGGTGAAACGCCGTGTTATTGAAAAAAAAAAAAAAAAGATTTAAAAAAATAGGATAAAATTTAGTTTAGGCTAAGAGCTTTCTCCAATCAGGAGTGATGCAGAGCCTTCCTGGTCCTCCCTTCCTTTTACAATAGCCAATAAAAAGCCTGTACTTAGTTGGTGGGATTGTGACATCATCAACAACCCAGACAATCTTCCTAAGGATTATTTGCATAGTTTACTTCTCCTAATCCAATAGAACTCAATTTCTTTTAAGGAGTGCATTGAGTGGAAGTGGTCGGTGCAATGATATTTGTATCAAATGTAGTGATCAAAATTATTATATCTGGTCCCTCTAGAGAGTACTTTTACCTTTGAATCACTCTACTCAGTATGTTAAATCTTAAAATAGTGCACTGAGAGCCACTTATCCATTTGACGTTTAATTTTTTTTTGAGACAGAGTCTCGCTCTGTTGCCCAGGCTGGAGTGCAGTGGTGCAATCTCGGCTCACTGCAATCTCCACCTCCTGGGTTCAAGCATTTCTCCTGCCTCAGTCTCCTGAGTAGCTGGAATTGCAGGCACCTGCCACCACACCCGGCTAATTTTTGTATTTTTAGTAGAGACAGGGGTTTCACCATGTTGGCCAGGCTGGTCTAGAACTTCTGACCTCAGATGATCTGCCTGCCTCAGCCTCTCAAAGTGCTGGGATTACAGGCATGAGCTACTTCATCCAGCCTAAATATTTTTTTAAGTATTGCTGTGGAGTAGGAAATAAAATTGCCTTGGATAATCTACAAGCTTCTTACTACTGGCAAAAACACCTTATTGCTTTTACAAAAAGAAACAAAAAAACAAAACCCTACTGTACACTTTGTTGATCTTGGCACCTTATCCTCTATAATGAAAGCTTCAACCATTTATCAAACTAAACGAACTGGGTGTTAACAAGAGAGCAGGATTCCATAATTCTGCCCTTTATACGCCTTGTTTATATACTTATTGGTTTAGCAAATTTTATACTACCAGAGTGCTCCCTTTCATTAGTGTAACTAGGATTTCTGTTCACAAAAAGCATTCAGCTTAGTGGGATAATTCTGCCTTTCTCATATGGCATACGGGGAGCTTGGACAAGTTAATCACTTTTGTTTCACTTAGGTTTACTACATATATACCATGTGTCAAGCATGTTCACATGTACTGTCTATCTTAATCCTCGCAATAACTGGAGAGGATAGATACTATTAGCCTCTGTTTATAGATGAGAAAACCGAGGATGAAAGAAGTTAAGCTCATAAGAAGTAACTGAACCAGAATGTTGACGTGACTTTTCTGACACCACGATCAACGTTCTTCCCACTATACTATGTTATTTACTTATAATTAACTAGTTGTGCCAAAACAGAATGGAAATGCTACTCCTACATAGCAAATATGATCACTTGCATTGTATGTCTGCAAACTTTTGTCTTATCTTGAATATCAAAACTTACTTTGTGCCTATAATTTCCCAAAGAAACATAGAATGATAGAATGCTCCAATCCTTTAAACAAAATTTCAGCCAACCAAAGTACTTTCAAGTTCTGATTTTCTTAGCTGCTCAAGAATTTACTGCAGCTAATGAAAATTTGCCATTGGCTTCAAACTGGTGGTTATAGGTCACTCAGGTCTCCACACAGACTTGTTATCCAAACTTCTTTGGCAGTAGCATATTTATTCCATAATACGACACTCAGTGAAAGTCAGAAATTGGTGGGACACATTTGAGCTCCCAAAGATAGAACCGTTGGAGTGAAACATGTAACACTTTTGAAACTGGATGACATCTACGGTCATAGCTATGGCCCTCACTCTTTGCTAGGCAATGGCCAAGTGCTTTACATATATTACCCAACACCCTATATGGTAGGTACTGTCCTTATCCCTACTTCCAAATAACTGGGAAACTGGGGCATGAAGAGGTTAGATAACCTGTCCCTACTCACATGGGCAGTGAAGAGCAGAGCTAGGATTTGTCCCCAGTCTGGCCACAGAGCCTGAGCTCTTAACCATTATGCTATGCTGCCTTTTCAAAATGGAATGTAAAGTATTAGCTGATTTTATGAAATTAAACACAGCACAGACTTTTTTGCTGACCTGAATCACAAGTTGCAAATATGACCACAAGTAGAAAATTTGGCTGTCATGCTGTATGTATATGATAATATACAAATCAACCTTAAGACCAACTTTTATCTAGTATAGAAATGAGGTATAATTCATAATTATAATGCTCTCTGCTTCCTTGAATGAAACCAAATCTCTTCCTTAAACCAAATCCCTTCACTTTCCTTCAGCTTCGAGTCAGGTCATGAACATATGTCAATGCATGCTCACCATTTGCTGGCCACCGCGTGCCCCTCAAAACTTTCCTCGGGGTCTTTGGGGCCTCTGCACTTATCTGGGCCAAGACAGGCAGGGAGCAGTATATTCCTCTGCTTGAAACCCTGCACCATGGGAACCTGCCCCCACCGGTTCTGTCTACTCCTGCCCACGGTCTACACTGGCATCCTGCCATCCCCTCACCATTGAAAATGCTAAATAAAGGCTTATAGCTTTGTGTTTCCACATTATGCTTGATTCTTTGTGGTAGATGTGGGGGGTGGTTCTATATTCCCAGCCCATCCTAAATTCCTATCTTCTAAAAGTGGAGCTGCCTAGTTTAGAAAGTAGCTGCTTGGCTGAAGTAAATTCTTAACAAATTAGTCTCTTCTAGGATACACATTAAAATGAGTGGTTGGAATGGGAAGATGACAGAACAGAGAGTCAAGAGACTCCGATTAGTGAGACTGAAGTGAGGCTAGAATGGCACGATGGGTGTGAAAGAGATTGGTAAACTGTAAAATCCTTTAGAGACCGTGTGGCCCCTTCACTGTCGAGGCCAGTGGTTCTCAAAGGGTAGCGTGTGTCAGAATTACCTAGAGGGCTTGTCAAAACAGATTTCTTGGCTCACTACTTCTGATTCTGTAGGTCTGGCTGGTGGCCAAGAATTTGCGTTTCTATCAAGTTCCCGGGTGATGCTGATGCTGTAGTCCAAGGACCACATTTTGAGAACCACTGGTTGCTAGATGAGTAAAAGCCATTGTGTCCACCTGAGGACATACAACAGGCGCTCAGATGCGGTTGTTATTATTACTACTCTCCATATCTTGGTAACCCCAACGTTTGCTCTCTTCTGCTTCCAGATTACTCAGCACAGTTTGGCTGAGATTTATGCAAAGAGAGACAGCATTCCTTTTCGACACTTCTATATGTAGCAACCTCCTGCCATTAATACCCTTTCTTATTTAAAAGCTGCTTCACAGTTTGTAAGGAACTCTCACGTTATTATGTTTTTATATGAAATGCTTCCCAATTTCTGAGCATAAAGCCAAGTAAAGTCTCATTAAGAAATATGCACTTAAAGCCGGGGACCGGACGATCAGGAGAGAACACCCTCTCCCCTTACCATTTGCAGCTCTGAATGTAGGCACAGGTTTGACTCAGACCAAGCATCTTAGAGGGGATAGGTGTCTCCCTTATGTATATAAGGTGCAAAGTTAGAGCCCCAGAAAGCAGTGATAATAAACATCCCTCTTGTGCCCCTTCTCGCCAAATAAAGCGAATGGGTGGAGGAAATCCCGGGCGAGCCTTCCCTGGCAGGGTCCCTCAAGCTGGCGCCGAAACTGCGACTCCCACGCCCGCCACCCCCGCCCCTGAGCGACAGCCCGCTCTCCGCAATGCAAAAACGCAGCAGCATCGCCCTCCAGCCCTCTCCTGGGGGATCGCACGGTGCAACCAACCCTAAAAACGTGGCCGCGCGACGCCCCCTCAGCTCCACGGGCTTCCCATTGGCCGGTTGCCGCTGTCACTCCCTCCTAGCCTCGCCTTCCAGCTCCCGGGCGGAGGCAGCCGGGCGGGGTAGGTTGCGCGCTCGCCGCGGGCTCGGGCCGCGGTCGCGGCTTTGCAGCAGGCAGCGCCGCGGGCGGGGAGCGGGGCGCGCGGGCCGGAGCAGGGGCCGGGCGCGCTGCGGGCTCCGCGGCCGGCCCATGCGGGGCGGGGGCCGGTGGCAGGGCCGGGGGCCGCAGCCGGCGCCGAGGGCGGCCGACTAGGACCTGCCCGGCCGGCTGCCCCGCGCCCCGCCTCGCCCCGCAGCCCGGCCGACCGGGAGGGATGCGCTGTGCCGCCCAGCTCCTCTCCATCCTGCGCGTGCCCTGAAGCAGAAAGTTTGGGGGCCGGGGGTTGTCTCCCGCCTCCCTCCTGCAATGACTGCCCAAGGACTCTTGCTGCCCAGCCTCGACTGTGACCTGCCTTCGCTCCCCAGGTCGAAATGAACTATTCCAAGCTGTAACCAAGGCTCACCTTCTCGCCCCTCCTTCACCGGCCTTTAAGATTTTTTTTTTTTTTAATTGAAGCAATTGTGGTCTGCCATCTCCCCTCCTTATTAATAAGTTAGACCCCAGGCCTCATTTCTGAGCAGAAGAGGGGGTGCGGTCTTCCCCAAGACGGCTCGCTGGAAGGACAGATTCCCCTTGCCGACCCACATACATCATGAAGAGGTGCAAATCGGACGAGCTGCAGCAACAACAGGGCGAGGAGGATGGAGCTGGGCTGGAAGATGCCGCTTCCCACCTGCCGGGCGCGGACCTCCGGCCTGGGGAGACCACGGGTGCTAACTCTGCTGGCGGGCCAACTTCGGACGCCGGCGCTACCGCGGCGCTCAACCCAGGTCCCCGAAGCAAGCCTCCTGATTTAAAGGTGAGCGCAGACCATCCCCCGGCAAGCCCAGCCCGCGACTTAGCTCTCGCCACCCCACGCAGAAGTGCTTTAACAGGTTAAAAGTGAGGGGGGGAAGCCAGGCAAAGGTCAGAGAGGATGAGCGGATGCTTGGCTGGCACCCCAGGAAGGACGTCAGGTACCATTTCTGCCTCTTTCAGCTCCATTTCAGTTCTCTGTGTTTGTTCCCTATTATTCAGCAAACGTTTTAGTGACTCACCCATCCGAGATTGTTTGAAAAATGTGTGTGAAGTGCTATTCGCGAAGGGCTGGAGAAATCCAAGATGCTAACCAAAAAAGTGGACATCACTTTCCCTCCTGTAGGATGGCAGGAGTTAGAAATTGCAACATGGGAGGCCAAGCAGGTGACCATTAGTTTTCTTTGCTGAGTAAGTCTCTTCCCATTGGGATCTTTGGGTGCCTTTTTTTTTTTTAATTTATTTTAAATTTGGAAAGACAGAGTCTTGCTCTGTCGCCCAGGCTGGAGTGCAGTGGCGTGATCTCGGCTCACTGCGACCTCCGCCTCCTGGGTTCAAGCAATTCTCCTGTCTCAGCCTCCCGAGTAGCTGGGATTACAGGCACGCGCCACCACGCCCGACTAATTTTTGTATTTTTAGCAGAAACGGGGTTTTGCCATGTTGGCCAGGCTGCTCTTGAACTTCTGACCTCAGGTGATCCTCCCACCTCAGCCTCCCAAAATGCTGGGATTACTGGCGTGAGCCACCGCGCCCAGCCCCATTGGGATCTTTGAGCGCTTTCCTGGATGAAGCTGTTTGCCGGTCTGGGAACGGGGGTGTGTGGATTTCCTGCCGTTAGGTGGAGCCAGAGGTTAAGATAGTGCTTGGAGATCTCCGCCTGCCTGCTGAACCAACCCCCAGGGTGGAGAACTGACAGGTGGTGGAGCAGTGCTTGGGCTGGTTTGGGGCCTCAGTTCAAGTTGCATACATGCTGAGCCGGCAGCTAGAACCAGAAGCCAAAAGAACTGCTCACATGGAGCTGTTTATTTTCTGGCCTGAGGTTGCGGAAACAATTGGCGAGCTGTGTTGAATATATCTCTATCAATTAAAACAGCAGCTGAGATAAATAATGCACCTTTGCAGGAACTGCCACAGGGACTGCAGGCTCAGGCTTCTTAAGCCAACTCACCGTCGGGCTGAGCGAGATGTCAGCCCAAGGAAGGAACTTAGGTGCCTTGGAGATTGATACCTCACAGTTATTTTCTCCGGAGAAGGTGTGGGGTCTGGGCTGGGGGAACGGAAAGGACTCCGTTACATTTAATAAAGCCTGTATCCTATGGCAGCAGCCGCAAAGGAGCTCGCCAGAATAAGCCAATGACATTCCTCGTTTGGGCTGAGCGGCTCAGAGTCAGGAAGTCAGAGCGCAGGTGAGTGTGTGCTTTTACCCGTGTATGTTACCTGTCCGTGTGCCTTGGGGAGGAGTGAAAAGGGGGACAACTAGGTCCTTGTGTGTGCTTTTAAAATTTTGCAGTAATTATTCAAATCTGACCTCTGGTTCTGCTGCCGTCCTTTTCAGAGCTTCATGGCTAGCCTTATGTCTAGAGGATCTCTGTGGGGTAGGCTCTCTCTGCACAGGAAGCTTGAGCTTTCGTCAGGCCCTTGGTGTTTATCTCTGCTGTCACCCCCGAGTCCATCCCTTGTGGGCAGGAGTTGTAGTTTCTGTTTTAAGTGAGACGGTGAGGGAGAAGGGGTCCCTTTAATGCTGTTGTGGGGAGCAGGCTAGCCTTCTGCAGCAGCCCCATTCTGGGCCGGTCCAGATGAGTCTGGCCAGCACAAACCCTGATTCTTTGACCAGATGAAACCCTCAGCTAAGTCTATGAGAGGCAGCTTTGGAAATTCCCCTACTTTTCAGCTCAGAACAGCAGTGGAAACTGTTTTCTCCATTTATTTCCCCCAGTTGCCTTCATAAGGAAGATGGGCTTGTCGTGGCACAGGGGCTGCAGTGTCTCTGTAGACAGGATTGCCTTAAGCTTGTTCATTTCTACTCTCCTATGTCATCTTTCTTTCTTCCTTTTTTTTTTTTTTTTGTTTAGTGAGGCCCTCATTCTGGTCAGGGGCAGATGTAGTAACTGTAGTAAACTGTACACTGATATTAACTGCTGAACTTCCCTCAACCAGAATTGAAATCAGGTGCAAGAAAAGGAGGCTCCCCCTTACCCCCCAGAGAAAACATACTACTGAACACAGCAATATGGACCCAGCAAGGAGCAGAAAGCCCAGCTGCAGCCTGCTTGTGGGAGCACAGGGAAACAAGCAGGGCTTTTCCTGTTTATCTCTGTCTGCTTCATCACAACATGTTTACTACAGGGCGCAAGGGACTTCCAACCAGATGACTTGGGGACTTGCACAATTTGATTTGCTGTGTGGTCTCAGGCAAATCACTCAACTTTTCTGGGGAAAGGGACTAGGAATATTGGAGTGTGTCCAAGTAGCTGGGACTACAGGAGCACGCCACCATGCCTGCCTAATTTTTAACTCTTTTATAAAGACAAGGTCTCACTATGTTGCCTAGGCTGTTCTCGAACTCCTGGGCTCTGATCTTCCCTTCTCAGCCTCCCAAAAAGCTGGGATTACAGGTGTGAGCCATGGTGCCCCGCCCCTCCAGACTTGCCTTCCAGTGCTGGAAAAGTTGTTTTCCAATGCTGGCACAGTTTTCCAGTGATGGAAAAATTCCCTTATTGGGTCAGGAACTGGGTAGAAGTTGACTTGTTTTAGATTTGATGGTGGTACCACAGAAGGGTGTTTAATTTTTAATGCCCCCTACCCTATACCTGTGTTTGGTCAAGGCAGATAAGGAGTTCTAGTTTGCTTTTGTTTTCATTTTAAACTTTGGAGATGGGAACTCTTGGTCCCTTGGTCCCACTTCTGTTTTCACATGACAGCTCCAGGCACTGTGATGAATTAAGTGCATTGGAAGAAATAATCTTGAGAAAGGAGAGGAAAAAATAGAGGTTGGAGAAGAGGAGAGATTTTTTTTTTTTTTTTTTTTTTGAGATGTAATCTCACTTTGTCGCCCAGGCTGGAGTGCAATGGTGCAATCTCTGGTTACTGCAACCTCTGCCTCCCGGGTTTAAGCGATTCTCCTGTCTCAGCCTCCTGAGTAGCTGGGACTACAGGTGCCTGCCATGATTCCTGGCTAATTTTTTGTATTTTTAGTAGAGATGGGGTTTCACTGTTTTCCCCAGGCTGGTCTTGAACTCCTGAGCTCAGACAATCCACCCGCCTTGGCCTCCCAAAGTGGTAGGATTACAGGTGTGAGCCACTGCGCCCAGCCTGAGGAATTTTTATCTTTGCCAAAGAGATCTGAATGATGTTTAACTAGTGACAGCCAGAGATTTCAGAGGCTCCTGTGGTTGCCCTCTGGTCCTTCAGCACTGTGGACCATCCTACTGTGCACTGTAAATTTCTGCTACGGTAGCCTGGGATCTGTGATTATAGGGTGGGAAGGGCCAATGAAAAGTAGTAGTTCTGAGGTGGGCAGATCACGAGGTCAAGAGATCGAGACCATCCTGGCCAACATGGTGAAACCCCGTCTCTACTAAAAATACAAAAAAATTAGCTGGGCGTGGTGGCACGCGCCTGTGGTCCCAGCTACTCGGGAGGCTGAGGCAGGAGAATTGCTTGAACCCGGGACACGGAGATTGCGGTGATCCGAAATCGCACCACTGCACTCCAGCCTGGCGCCTGATGACAGAGTGAGACTCTGTCTCAAAAAAAAAAAAAAAGAAAAAAGAAAAAGTAGTAATTAAGCAGCAATTTTAAAACTGTAATAGAAAAATAACCTAAAATGGACTTTGCCTTACAGGAGGTTCATGCAGATATATTGAGGGTCTTCTCAACTGTTCCGTACACCTGCGGGACCTTTGGGGAAAATCTCAGTAGACACTCCTGCAACAGGAGCGTAACATTCTTCAGCCACTTGCAGCTTGGATTCCTGTTGAACTACTCAAGTTCATGTCTCCATTCATTTGTCCTTTTTTTTTTTTCTTTTTTTTTTTTTTTTTTTGGGATTACAGGCTTGAGCCACCGCGCCCGGCCTCATTTGTCCTTATTGTCCAGTCTTGTGCTGCTAACAGATTACCTGCTCGTTGGGAGGAGATGCTGGGTTTGCTAGCCACAGAGAGTGCTGGCTGACCAAAAGTACACCAGAATTCTACAGTGAGAAAACCCAGTTCCATTGCATATGGGAGGAGATGGGGAGCTTAGGGGAATACTGCAGACAGGGAGCACGCATTCCTGTTGAAAATACAGCATATGGGCTGGGAGCGGTGGGTGGCTCATGCCAGTGATCCCAGCACTTTGGGAGGCTGAGGTGGGTGGATCACTTGAGGCCAGGAGTTCGAGACCAGCCTGGCCAACATGGTAAAATCCTGTGTTTAATCAAAATTAGCCAAGTGCGGTGGCACACACCTGTAGTCCCAGCTACTTGGGAGGCTGAGGTGGGAAGATCGCCTGAGTCCAGGAGGTTGAATCTGCAGTGAGCCGTGATCATGCCACTGCACTCCAGCCTAGGCTACAGAGCAAGACCCTGTCTCAAAAAACAAAAAACCCACAACGTGTGGTAGATACTTCTGAGGCCTAGGATGAGTAGCCAAGCATAAGAGTGAGCTGGTTCTATCCTGATATGTGATGGAAGCCTGAAGGCAGCAGAGGAAATTACCAACCTCCCCACCTCTCTCACCCCTTGTGCATCGGGAAGAACTGAGCCTTTCCTGAAAGGAAACGTCTGGGAATGTTGGCCATCAGCCTTCCCCTGGACTTTCCCTGAGGTTCTCTTTCCTCTCACAAAAGCCCCTTTAAGTAATTTCCCCAGAGATTTCTGAGCAGTATTAGTATCTTTCCCTGAAGAAAAAGGGGGAGCTCCAAATTCCATCATTCTCCTCCTGGTCTGAAGCACTTTTGACCCAAGACTCATTTGGGTCCCAGCTCGTGTTCAAATCACACCATACACTGGTCTTCCTGCCT